GGTACAAATAGATTAATTCTTGTTGCTTTACAGGATTCAGAAGGGAAAAAAGTTCTAATGGTACATAGCACATAAAAAAATATGTACTTTTGTAGCTGGCAAATTGATAAACAAATATTTGGGCCATGTTTGAGTCACATTATTTTTTTATTCTCATTTTTAAACACACATTTTTCAATAAAATAATATTTTACATCACATCAATAACTTTTTCTTTTTTTGAATCACATATTTTCCATCACATCAACAGTAAAAATGTATTCTTATAACCAAAATGTGCACCAAACAGGGGCTTGAAATGTCTAGACAATGTCCAGTAGATAAAAGAAATGAGCAGCTTAAATAAAATACAAGAAAATTGCGGAAAATGCTAAAAACCCCCCACCAAAGATAATGTAAGATCACCACCAGAAAAACAACCAAAACCAATATTAAGCTCGCAGAATCCCCTAATTGTAATTAACAATAAACAGACCCACTAAAATGTATTTTTCAATAGGGTTTGCTTGAGCCCCATTTTTCACGTAGAATGTATTTTGGAACAGTAGATTGATAAATACTGTGTGATTAAAAATGAAGAAAACGTTTGTGGGTTGCGTGTAATATTATTTTATTGAAAAATGTATAATTAAAAGGAATAAAGAGAAAAATGTATTTTGAAAAAACTGACGATCAAACATGATCATAATTTACAGAGAAAAAAAAGGTAAAAACCTAAACCAAAATCAAGATTTCAAAACCAAATCCACTGGTCCTAGGACTTGAATGCAGATGGAAAAGATATTGAGAAACGAGCTTGCAGAACATAGGAGCTTAATATTGGTTTTGTTTCCCATTAATTCCTCATTTGTAAAAGAAATCCAATCGTTAGTGGACCCTACCAGCCGCACATATTTTCAATAGCAACGATCACTTTTCAAAGGCAACGATCATATTTTTTCTACTTTTGTACATAAAATTTGTCCAAACAGGGGATTATTACACTCCGTTTGTTTTCCATTAATTCCTCATTTGTAGAATAAATTCCTCATTAGAAGAATACAAAAATAAAAGAAAGATAACGATAATAAATACTAATTAAACTAAGATTATGAGTGAAAAAAGTAAAAGAATTGGAAAATAAGTTAGTGGAAGAAATCCTACTGTCAGTGGACCCCACCCAGCCGTAGTGGAATAAATCCAACCATTAGCCTCCATCTGATCCTCATGATGCATTTTCACATCAAATCAATGCGGGACCGCCTACATTTGACTCGATTCCACTTCAAATATAATTTACACCCTCGTGTAAGGGGTGATGTACAAATAGCACAATTCAAAAAAAAATGTGAGCAATTGAAAATATATGAGTGGGTAGAGTCCATTAATGGTTGGATTTCTTTTACAAACGAGGAATGGGTCACCTTTTTTTTGTATCTGTATAAGAAACATGAGGTTCCAATGAATTTCTGACAATCCCGTGACCATTTGCCCAATGAATTTCTGCCAATCCCATGACTTCCTGTTGTACCAAAAATCATAATTTTGCAAACAATTTTCCACATTTGCCCTTTTTCCCAATCCAGAAAAACCATGACAAAAAACAAATAAAGACAAAATTTAAAGAATTGTGCTACTTGTACATTATCTCTTACACAAAGAGTGATATAATGCACAAGTGGTGCCTCTTCGTTGAGGGCTAGCAAGGCTCTTTTTTCTCTATAAAACATATGACCAATATTTCTGAAGTATGTGAAGATTTAAAGATAGAGAGAGAAGAAGATGGCCATGAATGAAGGAGATGGCCATAAAAGCTATGCAAAGAACTCAACTTTCCAAGTATGTCTATCTTTAACTTCAAAGTTAATGGGATGCTTGAAATTTCTTTACATTCTCTAAAACATGTTTTGATGATGTATCTGGTTTTTATACAGGGAGGAGTGACGGAGGCTTCAAAAGAAATAATCGAAGAAGAAATTAGGAAGAAACTTGACATTGGAAATATCTCTTCAACTACTATCCGCGTTGCAGATTTCGGATGTTCTTCCGGGCCTAATACAGTAAATGCAATGCAAATAATAGTTGAATCAATAAAGAAAAAAATTGAAACTAAATTATCCGTTTCACATGAGATGCCCGAGTTTCAGGTTTTCTTTAATGATCGGACCTCCAATGATTTCAATACTTTGTTTGCTTTACTTCCGTCGGAAAGACAGTACTATGCAGCCGGAGTTCCCGGTTCGTTTCACGGTCGCGTGTTCCCTAAAGACTCCCTTCACTTTGCTTATTCATCTTGTGCGCTTACCTGGCTTTCTGAGATTCCGAAAGAAGTGTTGGATCCCTTGTCCCCTG